TTTTTGGTTGCAGCCGTCGTTGTTTGGCGGGTCCGGGCTGGGGATTCGAACCCGCCACCTTAGGTGTATGTGGCTGGCGCCCTAGCCGGTTGAGCTATAGGCGCCGAGCCTCTTTCAGGGTATTCTAAAAGGCAGATTTACCAAATTCAATTTATCAATGTTCAACGTTACATACCCACTTCCTTCAAACAGGATTTATATATACATATTAGTTTGACACTATGAAGCCACAGGTATTTAGGTTTTTTACCCCACAAGTTTCAGCTCGGCACCCATAGCTCAGTGGTTTGGACGCCAGCCACATACACTGGGGTTGGCGGGTTCACACTTGGCCAGGGCTTACTACAACAATGACAACTACAAAAAAAAAAAAAGCCAGGCATTGTAGTGGGTACCTGTAGTCCCAGCTACTTGGGAGGCTGAGGCAAGAGAATCGGTTAAGCCCAAGAGTTTGAGGTTGCTGTGAGTTGTGATGCCACAGCATTCTACTGAGGGTGACATAGTGAGACTCTATCTAAAAATTAAAAAAAAAAAAAAAAAAAGGAATATAATTTTCCTAGGGTTGAACCTAATGAAATCAAATATATAGTGAACCATGATGCTAACCTTCAATTTGATGATTTTTTTTTTTTTTTGAGACAGAGCCTCAAGCTATTGCCCTGGGTAGAATGCTGTGGCATCACAGCTCATAGCAACCTCCAACTCCTAGGCTTAAGCGATTCTCTTGCCTCAGCTTCCCAAGTAGCTGGGACTACAGGTGCCTGCCACAATGCCCTGTTATTTTCTGGCTGTAGTTGTCATTGTTGTTTGGCAGGCCTGGGCTAGATTTGAACCCGCTAGCTCTGGTATATGTGGCTGGCACTTTAGCCCCTTGAGCTAAAGGTGCCGAGCCGATTTTTATTTTTTAAACTCTGATTGGCACTGTGAGCTTGACTGGATTAAATTAAAAATGTAACACTAGAAGTCAGCAACAAATTAAGCCATGCTATCTCATGCCCTATACCTTGTTTTTCTCCCGGGATTCCAGGGCATGATTCTCCTCTGAGGCTAGGGAATCAAAAGGATTTATAATTTGACAGTTATGCAGAATATACAGTGTGATCATTTAGCCTGTCTCTTAGGCTCAAAGATCCCACATCTTTGTTCAATATAGAACAAATTACTTCTACTTTATTTATAATGGAAATAGGACACACAAAGGTTAGATAGCTTGCTTAGCATCAGGCAAAAACTGTTAAGGACTGGCCTCCTTCAAGAAGTGGCCTATCCTTTACTTATTATAACAAACCACCGTATCTTTTTAAAAAGTAACATCAAAACATCAGTACCTGGCAGTGTGATGTTAGCAAAAATAGGCTGTCCATCAACATTGAGAGATGGCACAAATAATTCAGTTTGGTTAACCAGAAGCCCATCATATGTCCCTGCATCTCTGAAGAGCCAAAGGTGACCTGTTAAGACAAGCAGAGGCTATTATGGAGCCACACTGGTCTGAATCAGCATACCTATTTTCTCCCTTTCCTTTGACCTATGTGAAATGCTTGTTTTTAAAGTTAAATATCCAGCTTGGAGCCTGTGGCTCAAGTGGCTAAGGCGCCAGCCACATACACCTAAGGTGGTGGGTTCGAATCCAGCCCAGGCCCGCCAAACAACAATGATGGCTGCAA